AGGTGGCTTGTCTTTTTGATGCCAGACCTTACATGTTACAGTAAGGATAATGATTTTCTAAAGTAATAAGGTTTTTTTTAATCCTTATAATCAAGTTTGTCTTTAATTACCAAAAACAAGAGCAGAAAATAATTACGGTATATTTTAATCTAAACTCTTAATCTTTTGTTGAATATAAATAAATTTTTAAATTTTTTTATTTATATTCAAACAAATCTTTAATTTTAACGACAAATTAATGTTAATTAGATTTAATAACAATTGATCTTTTTAATGCACGTATGTAGCTGATGTGACAGACATGTTTGGTCACGTCAGCTTTCTTGTTATTACAGAACTGGTTATGGATAAGAGCAGAAGCTGCAATTTTTTGTCTACATCGATAATTGATGGGATAAATGTTAGCTGTCACGTGATTACGTCAACTAATGATCATTATGTCCACAGCTCCGATGACGATTTGCCGAGGGTGGACGTTTTTGTTTGCACGGCTGATCCGACGCTAGAGCCGCCATCTTTGGTGATCAACACCATCTTATCTGTGATGTCCTTGAACTATCCTACTGAGAAATTGAGTATCTATCTCTCTGATGATGGTGGATCACAGCTTACCTTCCATGCTTTCATGGAGGCTTCCCATTTTGCCAAGCATTGGATACCATTCTGCAAGAGATTCAATGTTGAACCAAGGTCCCCTGAGGCCTACTTCACCCAGGATTTTGATGTTCGAGACACTGCAAATCCTGAAGAATGGATGTTCATCAAGGTAAAGCTCTTCTAAAGAATGAAACCATGGTGATCAAAGAAGATTGCTGACAACAAAATTAATTGATTTTCTTATGTTTTAAAGAATCAATATAAAGATATGAAGAAAAGAATTGAAGCAGTCACTGACAAAGGGTGTGTTCCTGAAGAAATAAAGAATCAACACAAAGGGTTTTCAGAGTGGAATGCTGATGTAACTAAGCAGAACCATCAGCCCATTGTGCAGGTAAAGATTTTAGAATTAAATCTAGTTGTCTTCAAGAATTTTCTTTTGTTTTAATGTTGTTTTCTTCAGTTTGTCATTGATGGAAGAGACACAGATGCTGTGGATAGTGCTGGGTGTCGATTGCCAACACTGGTTTACATGGCAAGAGAGAAGAGACCTGGTTGGCCTCATCACTTTAAAGCAGGAGCCATGAATGCACTGGTAATGCTACTCTTCTGTAGGAAGAAAGGAAGTAAACAAGAACAAAATTTGTTCTTCTGTTGGTAGTTAATAATAACTAAAAGTTTTCAATGATGCAGATAAGAGTGTCATCAGAGATAAGCAATGGAGCAATCATCCTCAATCTGGACTGTGACATGTATGCAAATAATGCAGACTCAATAAGAGAAGCACTTTGTTTCCTCATGGATGAAAACAGAGGACATCAGATTGCTTATGTGCAGCATCCACAGAATTACAATAATATTACCAAGAATGATCTTTATGGAAATTCTCCCCCAGTATCGAACAAGGTTTGTGTTAACTAACAACAATGTGGACTAGCAAATGTTTGGAATATGTTGTTGACTGATGGCTTTTGATGATTTTGAAGGTTGAACTTGCTGGAGTAGGTGGTTTTGGTGCGGCCTTGTACTGTGGCACTGGCTGCTTTCATCGACGAGCCAGTCTTTGTGGAAGCAAGTATTCCAAGGAGTATAAAGGGTTACGGAATCTGGAAACTAGAAAGGATGATACCAGAACAGTTGGAGACTTGGAAGAAGCATCAAAAGTTCTTGCTAGTTGTGGCTATGAGCAGGGAACTCTGTGGGGAAAAGAGGTATATATATCTCTTGTTCTTAGTCCATGTTTCTTGTTCTTCCTTCCTGGGGAATTTGACTTGTGAAACTGATCATCGTGAATGATTCTGCAGATGGGCTTGGTATATGGTTGTCCTGTGGAAGACATTGTAACTGGCTTGACGATCCAATGCCGGGGATGGAAATCAGTTTACTACAACCCAGATAACAAGGCTTTCTTTGGTGTTGCTCCACCCACCTTAGACATAGCTCTTGTTCAGTTCACTAGGTGGTCTGATGGAATGTTCCAAATTTTCTTATCCAAATACTGTCCTTTCATATATGGACATAACAAGATAAAATTGGGTGCTCAAATGGGATATTCTGTTTATCTGTTATGGGCTCCATTTTCTCTGCCCAATCTGTATTATGCAATTGCTCTTCCCCTTTCTTTGCTCCATGGCATTCCCTTATTCCCAGAGGTATATAGAATCAATAATTTCCTGCATTTTCTGCCTTCTTAAACCGTTTTGCCAAGTCCAAGTACAGATTATGAACTTGTCTAAACTTTTCCTGTCAGGTTTCAAGCAGATGGTTTATACCCTTTGCATATGTCTTCTTATCCAAAAACATCTACAGCGTAGCTGAGGCTTTGACTTGTGGAAGCACATTCAAAGCTTGGTGGAATCTGCAAAGGATATGGGTGATTCGGAGGACAACTGCCTTCTTCTTTGCCTTCATTGACTGCATTGTCAGGCAATTGGGATTATCTCAAACTACATTTTCCATCACTGCCAAGGTGGTTACTGAGGATGTCTCAAAGAGGTACCAGCAAGAGATCATGGAGTTCGGGAGCACCTCCATTATGTTTACTGTCATATCGACATTGGCAATGCTAAACCTTTTCAGTTTAGCTGGGGTGCTAAAGATGGTCTTCTTGGGAGGTTCAGAGTACAAAGATATCGAAAAACTGATCTGTCAGGTTATTCTTTGTGGGTTGATGGCTATGTTGAATGCTCCTGTGTATGAAGCACTCTTCGTTCGTAAGGATAGGGGCAGCATACCGGCTTCAGTCATGTTCAAATCCATTGTTGTAGCTTCATTGGCATGCCTTTTGCCTCTAAAATAGAACAAAATCATGTGGTATTTTTTACCATGAAGTTTCTGTAATAATATGAAATATCATTTTTCTCCTCAGCTTTTCCTCTTTCCCTTTCCTCCCCTCTGAGTAGCTAGGTAATTGAAATTAATGGAAGCAACTTTGCTGTGGGATTAATGCGTCAGGAAAATACTCTAATGAATTCTCCATTAACAGGATCGTGGAAACTTAGAATGACTGGCTCTTAGCAGCAAACTGACTGCAGCAGCAAAGATTGGACCCCAGATTTGGGTTATGGTGAACACAAATTGTTTGTCATGAAGCTGCCATGTTTTTTTTTTGAAAATTGAGCATTTTATTCATCAACCAGGAGTGAACAATCCCTGTACAGAGATCAAGATCAGTCCCAGGTTCTAAATTGCCATCAAAACCTATAGCAACTTAAAATCCAGACTTTACAAAAAGAACACAGAGCAAGGGAGTCCCAACCTTCTCTATACAAAAAGCCTCTTCCCTCAAAACAAATCATGCAGCTCCTAATCAAAAATGCCAATCCAGTGATCCCACCCACACCATAACAAATCAAACCTGCTGTGAAGAGCCAGCATCCGTTCCAAACTCCCACCGATTCTACTCATAGACTTTAAACACATTGTCATGACGACTCCTGCTGGCATGGGGATTCAAGCTTGTGCCTTTCCCAAAATCCTGCCTAGAACATCAAGCATGCCTCTCTAACCCAAAACCCAAGAAAGCTTGGTGGTCGTAAAACAAAAGAACCCATATCCAATCACCAGATCCTAAGGGAAACCATTGAGATCCTACAGCAAAAATTGCTCCCTGCAAAGGAGCCATCAGACCTTGAAGTCGAAAGCCAACAATCAATGGATGTGCCGACAGATCTCCCTAGCAAACAAGCAATTCGGATGGTGAAGGAGCAAAATGGGATCCTCCTAACGTGAAGCAGGACTTTTCAGCAGCAAAAAGCCTCCCAGATCAACCTTTGAACCAGCACCGCTTGAAGAACATCACCAAGCTGACAGAATCAGCCGCAGCGGAGCAAGGAATAACTCCCTCCACCAAAAGACCTCAGCAGCAACAATATCAAAGAAACAGATAATGCAGCGAACGACCACAACAGCAACCTCCAGGACCATTATTCGTGCCAACACAGAGCCCCTCCCAAATCTTGACTTAGTATCAACCTGTTGGGTTTGTCAAATTTGTTCAAAACATGTATGGAGTGCGGTGATGTGAAGCTTGGGGTTCTGCAATGGGCTGATCCCTTGTCCCAATACCTTATCTGTTTTTATTAGGTAGCTTATTTGATGCTGCAGAGAAGCTAGCTCCAGCATTCAGACATTAACCCAAATTTGAGAATGAACTAAAATTGAGATAGAACATGAACAATTACTTATAATTATCTCTTATGTTTCTTTTCTTTTTCGAAATTGACTTGCAATTTATCACTTCTTTTTAAATAATTTCGTGAAAGAAAAAATTATAATATGGTATAATCCATATTAGTACTAATAAAATAAAATATATAATAGAATGATTGGATCGAAATCGTACTTTCTTCTTACTTGATATGACAAAGCAGTGACCTGGATGATCAAATGGTTCTGACCACCAACGAGTTTCCAATATTATAGCATAAACTACAGCAGACGTTGGCTTGGTTCAAGTCAAGGTAATTGTCCATATAATCTTTGATGAGATTGAATTATTGGCATATAATCCATTACAGATCCATCAGCCAATTAAAAACATTTGGAATCTCCTCAAACTAACCATGGTTTGGTTTGTATCTGATATTTAAAGCGAGTCCATTTAATAAATAAAGTGCAGCTCTCCTTTTTTGACCCAAGGATTAGCTTGAATTGCCATGATCTGTTCCATTTCTTTGACATCATTTAATGCTCAGTTAGTGTTTCATGCTTCAGCCACTTGCAGTGTAGAATACATACAGAAGTGTTAGCAGTCAATTATACAAACATGCAGCAGCAGCTACTGCTACCATTAATGGAAGACTAAAGAAAGCAGGTGAATTGAAAGAAGAGACCATTAATGGAAGACTACAGAAAATATGTAAATAGAAAGAAGAGAAAACTATGAGAGTTTTGTTTCTCAATACTCCATTAACGTAACTCAGTCTGATACAAGGATATTGAACATGATTTAAACAAAAAATAATACACTACACAAAGGCAGCTGGCAGATGGGAGATATATGATCAAAACATGCATAGGTTGCATGTTTTGACAGTACGGATTGCTGAGCATTGCATGCAGTCTGCTAATTATCACCAAAAAAGGCCAATCCTTAAGCCACCACATGTGTTGATCGATGATGCTTCTAGAAGTATTCCATTCTAATTAAGCAAACATGAACAGATTTTGATTTGGTTTTAACACTTTTGAGAAAGCTGCAAGAAAATGCAAATGTAGGAGGCATAATCAGTGATACAATTGTTAAGGCTTTCCTCAAAGTGGGGGCACCCCATTTTCTAACGACGGCCGATGAGTTCCTTTCGACCAGGATTGGATAAGAGAAAGATGAGATGAACAATGAGTGCAGCACCAATGGGGTCGTAAAATTTGTGCTTGATGAAGAGATATCCAGCTATGTACATACGGCCGACGAAAGCAAGTGCAACCAGGCAAGCGAATATTGATGTTGATAGCTTTGCAAAAGGGTGAAAGACCTGTTCATCCCAAAAAATAGTCCCAAGAAGCAAAATTGGAAGAGGATGATTGAGGAGAAGAAGCAGAAATTATGGTGTTGATCAAGTCAGGAAACATGCACAAACCTGAATGGGAATGTAAACACAAGCCACCAGGAATATACCGATCAAAAAGAGTTCACCTAAGCTGAAATCACGCTCTCTGAGCATTGAATATAAAGAGTGAAGTGTTAGGACCACAGCTACAACACTTATCAGAATTATGGTCTCTAAAACAGTTTTTCCTCTCCCTGTAGAAGCAGACAAAAATTGAGCTGAATTACTATTCATTTGCCAAATATTGCAGTTGAAACTAGACATTCTTAAGTTTCAGCTGACACATTTTTTTGTTTTTTATAAGCCAAAGTCATGGCATTGATCATTTAAGAGCAACATGGGTTGCATTAGCCTCTCATCTTATGTCAAGCATCAGAGGCTCAATACAACCAGAGTTGCAAATTACATACCCTTTGAACTTTTTCCAGCCATTTCCTTCTTGGACCCTGAAATCATCCCATCAACAAGACAGACCCCAAGTAGTTTCTGCTGACACCTATTTTCACCTATATATATAATGTTCTATATATGCAGCTTAGTTCTGATATTCTCTTTGCTTATATTTGGAGCACATATTATTCTTTCCACTGCTACCAATTTCACCATGGTAGAGGAACTAAAACTGTCAGATTGAGAAAGTAGAAGGACCAAATTCAGATTTCGACTGTATAAAAACATATATAGCATTCATTTAAACAAAGAAAAATTCATTTAAACAAGGGAACATATATATACCTTTTGAGTAGGAACAGGAGAGTCCCACAGCCGAGGCAAATAAAATGGTCCATAATGTAAAAAGAATACAGTTGCAGGGCCAACGTTTTCGAAGATCAAGAAGCACACATTGAACTGTGGCAATCAACACAATGTAAATAAGCAATCCACATCAACAAACTCAACACGAAGCATTGAAAACAAGAATTAAAAGAATAAAAAAAATCGATCCATATTATGCTGAGAAGAAATTTTCAGTACTTATCAAGCAAAGGACTATGGAGATGATATAGATGGAAAGGCCTGGTGCAGTGTGGAGCACAAAGTGAGGAATCCTGGAAACCGAAACAACAACTGATCCAACCGCAACAGCAAGGAGAAACTGCAAGGAGATTATGGCATAGACGGCAAACATCAAGGCCCATTTCTCTCCATTCTCATTGTCATCAGACTCATTATCTGTTGCCATGTTATAAGGCCAAAATGAAAGAGAAATACAAGCTAAACAAAGAGTGAAATGGTGAGTTTTCTGGTTTTGCAGGGAACACGTAGTTTGGAGAAATACACGTTCTCTGACTCTACTTTGGATAAAGACCAAAGACCAATAAAAATGCTTTGCCTCATTCGGTGTACTTTCTCTATTAGTGACTTTTTTATAATTTTGTTAATTACAAAGACAAATAACTTAAAGTGATGTTAATGTGAGAAATTTATTGAATGCTTAAAAGTAAAATTATAAAAGAGATATCAAGTGAGGCGAGTTGCAGTATTATATATTATATGTGAGAAAGAAATAAGCTTAGACTTTTCCAATGGAGTTGGTTGGAGGAGCAGGCAAACCATCCCTGCTCAATGGTAGGGTCAATTAGCAATTAAACAATGACCACTAATGTCAAACAAAAACATTAAAGTACCATTTTTTCACATTTCTCCAAAGTCAATGATTAAACAATCATTTAAAGAAAGCTGAAGATACCTTTTAAGGTTCATGAATCATGGGGGGCCTTGAGGGTGGATGAAAATATCACAAAAGTTACTTTTATTCAACTAGACCCTGGTTAAGGTTATGATGAATTTGAATATGGTTAACAAGAGGCAGAATGAATATAATTTAAGGTTTCCTTGAGACAAATCCATAGTTCTAACCACGAGCAAGTTTCAAATAGTAGAAAAATGTCCAATAAGAATAAACTACAGCAGAAATTGGCCCTTCAATATCTCTACCATCCTTGACCATTTGATTTCCAGCAATCTGCGTATGACCAACAAAGAGGAGTGCAGCCAGGAGATACAGAACCATCAACCAATCAACAACATTTGGAACAATAGGAATGGCGACTCCTTGCTATATTTTATGTAACATAAAGTGCAGCCGCCCTTCTTTGACCCAAGGGCTAGCATGAATTCCTATATCTGTTCCATTTCTTTGACTGCATTCTGCCAATTTCAGTTCTTTGACTGATCTTCCTCGACAAGCGGTCAGTTTCGTCAATTTCATTAGAAATATACCAATTGTTCCATGATCTAAGTTGTTCATTACATAACTCAATAATCAACCTCTTATAGAACCAATCTAAGATAATGATGATGCAGATAGTTGAAGGCGTGTGCTTAATGACCATCACTTCTGCATATATAGTTTGAATCTTGAATCCCCAGGGAGGCAAATAAACAGCCCAATGACAGAGTTTGATATTTTGGAAGGTTTCCCCACAGTTTTTTACTCCTCGTTTTCATCTGTTGACATCAATTCAGTTTTAGTTTCAATGGTAATTTTGAAGGGGAGGATTCAGATAAAAGATAATGGATGTGCTTTCTCTTGTCTAAGAAGGGAGTTACATTAGCCATCCGCTGCTTTACGGATAAATAAAGCTCAGTGTACAGTTTCATGCTTCAGCTACTTCCTACCTAATCCGATATAGAATATAATACAGAACAATGTAAGCAAAAGTTAACAAGTTTTTATTTGGTTTTAACACTTCTGAGAAGCTGCAAGAAAACAAGTTCACATAAGGCATAATCAGTTATGATGTTAAGGGTTCCTCAGAGGCACCCTGATTGCTCGACGGCTGGTGAGTTCTTCTCGATTAGGATTGTTCATGAGAAAGATGAGATGAACAATGACCGCAGCGCCAATGGGATCGTCAAATTGGTTGTTGATAAAAAAAGTTTCAGCAATGTACATACGACCGGCGAAAGCAATTGCAACCAGGAAAGCATATATTGATATTGATAGCTTTGCAAAAGGGTGAAAGACCTGTTCATCCCAGAAAAGATTATGAGGAGGAAGAAGCAAAAAGTGATGGTGTTGATCAAGTCAGGAAACAAGCACAAACCTGAATGGGAATATAAACACAAGCCACCAGGAAGACACTGATTGATAAGAGTTCACATAAGCTGAAATCACGCTCTGTGTGCATTGAATAATACGAGTGATGTCCTAGGACCACAGCCACAACACTTATCAGAATTATGGTCTCTAATACAGCTTTTCCTCTCCCTGTGGAAGTAGACCAAAAAGTAGAGCTGAATTACTCTTCATTTGCCAAATATTTTGACATTGTATCAATGCATCTCAAATTGTTCATTGCATATGTAATGTTCTTTTTATGCTGCAATATTTAGTTCTGATATTCCCTTTGGTTAAATTTGGAGCACATATAATTGTCTACACTGCTACCAATTTCACCAGGTAGATGAACTTAAAAACTGTCAGATTGAGAAAGTAGAGGGACCAAATTCAGTTCGACCATATAAAGGCATAGAGAAAAGGGAACAACTATACCATTTGAGTAGGAACAAGAGAGTCCCACAGTAGAGGCAAATAAAATGGTCCATAATATAAAAAGAATATAGTTCCAGGGCCAACGTCCTCGAAGATCAAGAAGCACACACTGAACTGTGGCAATCAACACAAATTAAACAAGCAATCCACATAAATAAACCCAACAACAAGCATTGAAAGCAAGAATTAAAAGAAAAAAAATCAATCCTCATATATCAGTACTTATGATGCAAAAGACTATGGAGAGGATATAGATGGCAAGGCCTGGTGCAGTGTGGAGCACAAAGTGAGGAATCCTGGAATTCGAAATAACTACTGATCCAACTGAAACAGCGAGGAGAAACTGCAAGGAGATTATGGCATAGAGGCTAAACATCAAGACCCATTTCCTTTTATTCTCATTGTCATCAGAATCATGATCTCTTGCCATGTTGTAAGGCTAAAATGAAAGAGAAATACAAGCTAAACAAAGAGTGAAATGAGTGAGTTTTCTGGTTTTACAGGGAGTACTTATAGTTTGGAGTAATACAGGTTTTAGTCTCTCTAAGAATATCTTACTACTAGACATTGGATAAGGACCATCCATCTCTTCTCTTAAAAAGTCATACGCAAAAGCAAGTGCATTCACATTCTCCAGATAAAATAATCAACAATCAATAGTTCTAATTAATGCTAATATGGATTACATCATTTCGTATTATAAAAAGATATGATAAATTACAAAGGAGATAATTGTAGTATTTTATTCATATTCTATCTCAAATTTGAGGTATGGTGCACCCAAGTTGTTGTCCTGGAGCTGCCATGTTAACAGCTATCAACCCGTTGGGTTGTCAAATTTCTTCAAACTTGTGTTGAATCATGAATGCATTGATGTCAAGCTTTGGTTCTGCAATGGGTGGATCCCATGTATTCCCCTGACCCTGTTTGCTTATAGGTAAGCTTATTTGATGATGCAAAGAAGCCAGTTCCAAACATTCAGACACTAACCTACATTTGGATAGATTTGGAGAAGGGCAAAACATCTGTCATGTCCATCAAAAAGTTGGTAGGGAAAGATTGTAAGAAAGAAGTAAGCAATCAAATATTTAAGGAAGAAAGTTGATTTTGATATATAAGGGGTAGGGATTGGTAGTGGTATATGTAGATTAAAAATTAAATTTGTCCAAATGACTATATGGCTTGGTTCAAGTCAATGTAATTGTGCATATATATATGTATTTGCAACTTGCAGCAAGTCCAAGTAAATGGTAAGATTAAATTTATTAACATATATTATCCATTAAAGATCCATCAAACAGGTAGAAAGGATTTGGAAAAAATAGGAAGTCATCATTTTAATGTCCTCAAGCCAACCATGGTTTTGTTTGTATCTGATTAGCATGAATGCTCAGTTACTGTTCCATGCTTCAGCCACTTCCAAATATAGAAGATATATACAGAAGTCTTATTTGGAAAAAATAAGACTCTTGATGTAAAATTATGAAAAAAGCATCAAGCAAGACAATGAACCCTTTTATTCATACAAGATCGATTAAACAATTAAAGCATTTGGAAAAATAGATTTAATTTTAATTTGCTCAACCAACCATGGTTTGCTTGTATCTTGCTCAATGGAATGAGTCAATTAGCAATTAAACAAAGATTATTATTGTTAAGTCAAATTAACAATCATTTAAAGATAAGCATGAAAGATAAGTATGGATATAAAAAGTCTATGACAGATTACATAAACAAAATATTTCAAAGAATTATTTAGAGTTAGAGGTGTTTAAAGATTGAGCTATTTATTCAAATTTATAGATTTAATCCGATTCAAATTAAGTTTGGATTTAAATTTTTAGGTCCGAACTTGACCTCGCTTGACGCAAATAGAATTATTTTATGAATAACAACATTATTGAGAGCAAAAAGAGATTCCATAATAAGAAGGTAAAATAAATATGGTTCTAATATGATGCATTCTGCAATAACATTAATGAGACAAAATATATAATAGAATGATTGGATCGAGTTCTCTTATTGTATTTTTTTGTTGGGTACGGCCTCATTTTACATGAACAAGTCTTTCTGATTATCTCATCTTTTCTCTAACCATGAGCTAGTTTCTGGTGGTAGGAAAATGGCCAATAAGAATAAAGTACAGCAGAAATTGGCCCTTCAATATCATCTCTACCATCCTTGACCATTTGATTTCCAGCAATGTAGGTATGACCAACAAAAAGGAGTGCAGCCAGGAGAGCATATATTGATGTCGATAGATTTGCAGCAGGACCAAAGATCTGTCATGTCCATCAAAAAAATTGTTCACCATGGCAGAAATTTAGGTGCTTTCTATGGTGTATGTTGATCTTTGTATTAGTGCACAAACCGGGATGGTGACATAGAGACAAAGTACCAAGAATGCACCCAAAAAACAAGGTGCAGATAAGCTGAAATCAAAGTCTCCAATTGCTCCACAAAGAGCATAAACTGTCAGACTAACTGTTACAACACTCATCAGGATTATTGCCACTAGAATAGTTCTCCCATTCTCTACAAGTAAACACAAACACACACACCACGTGATTGTCATTAATTGATGGAATAATTTTACTTCAGGTTTCTTTTTAATTTGTACCTTCTAGGTAGGAACAAGAAAGCCCGATGGTGAAGACAAATAGTGTAGACCATAGTGCAAAAAGCAGGAAGTTCCATGGGGAATGGTTGGAAATGGCAAGAAGTGGGCATTGAACTGTTTGAGTCAAGACAGAGTTAAACAAAACCAATGATTAATCCATGTCAGTATGCCAAGAATAGAAAGATAAAAAGACCCAGAGGTCCCAAAAGCATGCAATGGTTTCAGATCAAGCATCTTATAGTTCCAACATTTCCTTACTATAGGTGGAATTGCAAATGCATACATTAGATTATATATATTCAAAGATACGGTGTTGCAACGTACCAAAGAAGTTGCCAAGAGTTCTACATTTTGGTACTTCAAATTGGAAAATGAAATGAATTCTATCTTTCCAACAGGGTTCAGCGTAGTAGCGAAAGAATGTTTAGTTTACCTACAAGCCAAAGGATAAAGGAGATGATGCAGATGGCGAGGCCTGGTGTGCTGCGGATCAGCTCAAAGCAAGGGATCCCAGAATTGAAAACAAGGTTAGTTCCAAATGCAACAGCAAGCAGCAACTGCAAGGATATGAGGGCATAAGCCAAAAAGATTGTGTCCCATTCATTGCCTCTGGAACTACTGCCTGGTAGAAGTGAAGAGTTCATGCTGTTTCCATCTCCTACCATTGTCAACACAATGAAAGGAGAAAGCCAAGCAGAGTGAAGATGGATACAGTACTTGTTGGTAGCAGGTTATGTTTCTTGTTTCTAGGATACCTGCCGTTCAAAGTTTTGCATCAGATTAACAACATAAACAAGGAGCAGAACAAGGTCAATTTAATTTAACATGTGAGTGCATTTGCATAGTTTTAGAATTTATCCAAACAAAAGGCTTACAGATAAGTTCGAAGGATTACGGAGCCTTGCACAGATCGAGGATGCAAAAATAGCAGTTAGTTCTATTCTAATAACCCACTTGCATAATTTCTGTCCATGTTTAGAAAGTGATGTTAGAACAACAAGACATTGGGGATAGTGAAACAAATTTTGTCTTAACTAACCATGCAATGTTCTATAATTTCAAATTGTAGTTGTTGATAAATTACAAACTAAAGGACAAGTCAAAAAAGGATGATACAATATATATATATATATATATATATAGCAAGTGGAGATTAAGGAAAAGATGTAAGAATTTATTGGCTTATCACTCACATTTCAGCTAACAGTTTGTAAAGCTCACTTATTAGTTTATTCAGCAAGTGTTCATCACATTGGTGATAGTTAGTTAAGATTAAAATAGCATATGGCAAAGCTGAGACAAAACTTTGATCCTCTAATTAAGCGATTAAAAGGTCTTAATTATGTGAATTATGAAATATAAGATAATCTTGAAGGCAAATGGTAATTAATGTCTTCTTGTTTTATCTCTTCATGTAGGGTTTGAGTTCAATAATGCAAAGATTTACTTGATTCGGCTTTGAAGTCTGCATGGATAAGCATAAACATAGGAGAGATTTCATTGTAAAAACTTAGGGTGTGTGTTGCTTTCAACGTGTTTCAAGTATATGGTAATGGGAGGGAAAGGTTTAAGGCCGATTAAACACAATGGTTATTTGCATAGGATTGCTTGCAAAACTTTGTTTTTGGTGCGACCATGTCTGCATTTCAACTTGCTCCGCTAAACCATATGAATGGCTGGATCATCTGGTCTTTGTTTTATGTTCAGCAAATCCTAATGAACCCATTCAGCTACAAATGAACAGAACACAAGTTCAAATTTGCTTTCAATCATAACAAAAGAAGTTGAGCCAGACTTCAAACCAGTTCCTTCTGACTTTGACTAGGTTTAATTACTGCAGACAAAATTTGCCGACAGGGACACAAAGCAAAGTTTGACTTTTGTAATGGATATGGATGAACAATATAGAAAATCTTGAACATCCCAAAAAGAAGAGATTGATCGATAGTTTTTAAGGTTCTAATATTAGTGTTAATATTATTGAGAGTTGAAAGCTATCAGCTCCAATCAATCTGAGGTTAGATTCCTACCCAAAAAGCTGCTATATAATCGAGTTATTTTCATGATCGAAGTACTTGCAAATCCTTGTCTAGCAAGTTGAGGATAGCTACAGAATACTTATTACGTACCCTTGCTTCATGCATACGATTCTGTCATGAATTTCATGCTTGCATCATGCATATGCAGCTTGACCATGCAATAATTCTTAATAGACTTTTTTCTGGCAGCCGCTGATAATTTAGATAAGCTAGCTTTTGAATTTGATTTTGTCCAAAAGGGTATGCAAGAATTTAGCTATAAATAGACAAACAGATAGATGCATGCCTCCAACATCATTTAAATTATTTCTGAATTCTACGCTTGTTTGAAAGATGGGAAATGATGGGTACGTTCCTTTGTTTGAGACAAAGAAAGCAAAAGGGATAGCCCTTTACAGACTCTTTGCAGCCTCTGTATTTGTGGGAATATGCTTTATCTGGGCTTATAGAGTGAGTCATATACCAAGAAATGGAGAAGATGGGAGGTGGGTTTGGATTGGTTTGTTTGCAGCTGAGGTTTGGTTTGGTTTTTACTGGCTACTCACTCAAGCCCTCCGCTGGAACCCCATTTACAGACATACTTTCAAGGACAGGCTCTCTCGAAGGTTTCATCTCTCGAAAAACTCTTCTTATTACATGCCTTGCACTCTGATTTTTGCTTTATTGCCCCGCAGTCCAGGAAAGCTAACCCTTCACCTACAATTTGGTTTCCTGCTTTAAAAAGATTGCTGCAGACTTGATTCTAAACCATCATAATTATGCCTTTAAGGACAGTAGATCATCAGCAATGGCAAAAACAGCCTTTTGAACATATCTTTACTCTGTACTAACATATATAAAATGTCATACATTAGTCTTCAAATATATGTTTTTGACACAAATCTGCTTACTTTTCATTTTATCAGATATGAAAATAAGTTACCTGGAGTGGATATTTTCGTGTGCACAGCAGATCCTCTGATAGAGCCACCAATGATGGTTATTAACACTGTTTTATCAGTCATGGCCTATGACTACCCGAAGGAGAAGCTTAGTGTGTATCTATCTGATGATGCTGGTTCTTATCTTACCTTCTATGCTCTCTTGGAGGCCTCTGAGTTTGCTAAACACTGGATACCATTCTGCAAAAAGTTCAATGTGGAACCAAGATCTCCAGCCGCTTATTTTAAGTCAATTTCTGACTCACATGACTCCAACGAGCCTAAAGAATTAGCTACTGTTAAGGTACTATACCATTGCCTACTTTCCTTGGAAACATTTCAGTGTAAAGGACTTAAACTAAGCTTCCGATACCTGCTTTTAGACCAATTACAAAGATAGTTCTGAATGTGTTTTGAATCAATTTAGATCATGTTTTAATGAGCTTGGCAATATCTCACTTTCTGTAGAAATTATACAAAGACATGGAGAATCGAATCGGGGCAGCAGCCAAGCCAGGTTGTCTCTCTGAAGAAATACGCCCGAAACATAAGGGATTCTCTCAATGGGATTCATATGTTTCACAACGTGATCATGACACTATGCTTCAAGTAAGTGAAATGCTACATTTTGTTCAATGATAAGTACCATGTAAAGCTTTTTTCAAAAATTTACTACTGATGTTGAATGAATTTCACCAGATATTGATTGATGGGAAAGATCCAATTGCCACAGATGTGGAAGGATGTAGGCTACCAACTGTGGTGTACTTGGCTCGTGAGAAGAGACCCCAACATTTCCATAACTTCAAAGCTGGAGCTATGAATGCATTGGTAATTCAAAAGCTGACTTGTAATTACTTTCTTTTTCTATTCATTTGAGATATCTGAAAATAAAATTTGTGATGCCAACAATCCTAATAGCTCAGTTCACTCCACACTGCAGATAAGGATATCATCAAAAATCAGCAATGGGCAGATCATTCTGAATGTAGACTGTGATATGTACTCAAATAACTCACATTCGGTGCGAGATGCTCTTTGCTTCTTCATGGATGAGAAAAAAGGCCCTGAGATTGCATATGTGCAGTTTCCCCAGAACTTTGATAATATTACCAAGAATGAAGTATACAGTAATTCAATGAGAGTGATTAATGAGGTAGGTATTGATGTAACTACACTCTGCTGATATAAATAGCATCTTCTCTTTCTTCCAATGTGATTTTGTTTTTCTAAAAAATGGTTGGAAATTAAAGGTGGAATTCCATGGTCTGGATGGATATGGAGGCCCTCTCTATATTGGAACAGGCTGCTTTCACAGAAGAGATACTCTGTGTGGAAGGAAGTTCAGTCAGGGATCTAAGAATGAATTTAAGATAGAAAAAAATGCAGAAAGAGAAGAAACCATTCATGAATTGGAAGAAAATTCAAAGGACCTCGCAAACTGTACTTATGAAGAAAATACTGACTGGGGAAAGGAGGTATCTTGCTTTCTCTTTACCTCAAGCAGTCATTAAGCACACTGCATACATGCTTTCTTGAGCTTATTCAATGTTTCATTGCAGATGGGATTGAAATATGGGTGTCCAGTTGAAGATGTGATCACAGGTTTATCAATTCAATCCCGGGGATGGAAATCAGTGTATTATAATCCAGCAAGGAAGGCCTTTTTAGGAGTTGCAACAACCACACTTGGTCAAACACTAGTGCAGCACAAGAGATGGTCTGAAGGTGATTTTCAGATTTTGCTTTCAAAGTACAGTCCTGCCTGGTATGCCAAAGGAAAGATTAGCTTAGGCCTCCAACTGGGATATTGCTGTTACTGCTTCTGGGCTTCTAACTCCCTGCCAGTGCTATATTACTCTATTGTTCCTTCCCTTTCTCTTCTAAGAGGGATATCTTTGTTTCCACAGGTATGTTTCTTGTTTTCCTTTTTCTCATTCAAACCCATTTCTCTTAATTGACTTAGATTAACTGAATTTATGAACATTGAACTTATCCAGTTGTCAACTCCATGGTTTATTCCATTTGCATATGTGATATTCTCCACATATACCTACAGCCTAGCTGAGTTTTTGTGGAGTGGTGGCACAGTCCTTGGTTGGTGGAATGATCAAAGAATATGGCTTTACAAAAGAACAAGCTCATACCTCTTTGCCTTTACCGACACCATTGCGAATTCACTTGGATTTTCTGCAGATTCAGGATTTGTAATCACAGCCAAAGTTTCTGAACATGATGTCCACAACCGATACTTGAAAGAGATCTTGGAATTCGGAGCATCGTCTCCCATGTTCACTATGCTGGCAACAAGTGGTTTGGTGAACCTACTTTGCTTGGCTGGACTGCTGAAGAAAGTGTTCATTGCTGAGTACCAGATGATGGTTTTGCAAATCCTTCTTTGCAGCCTTCTGGTTCTCATCAACTGGCCTTTATACCAAGGCCTTTTCTTGAGGAAGGACAACGGCAAGATGCCAAGCTCTTCAGCAATCAAATCTATAGTATTTGCACTGCTTGTACCTGCTTTATGTTCTTGTATTAATTTTGTATTGTATTTCTTTTCTGATTTTGTTTTACTGTGTAACTTGATCCCTTGATTTAAATTCAAAGAATAAATAAATGATTACATTTGATACATACCAGATTCTAGAAGTTATTGCAGTTAGAGTTACTGAATCTTTCTTCCCTTCTGGTTTGCAGGTTCTACTAGTATCTGAGTATTA